TTTTCATTGTGCGCCATTACGACCTTCTAGTCACCGGCGTCCTGACAACCAATGACATCATCAGTTGATAAGAAGGATGTTAGCTGTCTACACAGCATCCTAGTTTGACCCTCCCTATCAGTGTCGGGGCCACATTAGGTCAGTGATGGAGAAAAACTGAGGGGGAAGAGAAACATGGGAATACTAGTCAGTAGCAGTGTGCAAATGTGTGTTTGCTCTGGAAGAATAAATCACCTCTAATGTTGGGTGTCCTACATGTGTGGATGTTTCTGCGTTATATAAAACTATTCGAATTGTTTTTTACATTTTAGAATGGAGTGCCCTTTTAAGATGCAGGATAGTCCCGAGCAGGGGCGGACTGACAACTCATGGGGCCCCCGGGCAATAGGGGATCATGGGGCCCCTGTGTCCTTGCCCAAACTCAAAAAAGCCTATGAAAAAGGTACCAGGGGCATCTCATGGAGCCCCCTACTGACCCCAGGCCCTTGAGCAGTGCCCGAATTTTCAAATGGTCAGTCCACCCCTGGTCCCAAGGCACCCTTTAAAATTATGGACAGTCTGGAGGCACCCCATTCTAAAATGGGGTGCCTCCAGACTGTTCATAATTTTAAAGGGTGCCTCGGGACTGTCCATAATTTTAAAGGGTGCCTTGATTAAAAAAAGGTTGAGAAACTCTGGTCTAGAGCTCAGCTTTGAAAAAAAAAAATTACAAAAATTCCATTCAATGAATACGTAACGTTCATCCAGTGGTTTCACTCTTCTCCACAATGTAAATTCCTCCTGTCTCTGCTCAAGGGCAGATAAAGGGTTATTTAGCACTAAACATTTTCTCCCTGGAAACAAACCGGTCTTGGTTTCAGTCTGGGGCTGGATGTCACAATGCATGGTGTGGTCAGTGTGTGTCATTTACAGACTCTATGCTATCAGTGCTGCCAACACATGGGGGATTGCTCAGTGTCTGCCATTCCAACCAGACTACCACCTGCTGAGATAATTCACCTCTCACTCAGCCAGTTACACCTCCTGCAAACTGCAAGATAAGACTCAATTAGCACTTGGATACTAAATGTGTCTTGGGAAAGAGACCCTGTTCCAGGGAGAAGACTCCACATCCATCTCAATGGGAGCCATTAGGGACTTCTTATCAGCAGAACACAAGAGGAGAAAGTGGGGAACAAATTAAGATGACAAAAGTGGGGAAGATTTCACAAGTTACAAATATTCTTTAATGAAATAATTGTAACTGTAAATCATTTGTGACCTGTATGACTTTATGGTGACTGGTCCTTCTCGTGTTGCACCTTGAACAGCATCAGATACGTTAAGCTGGTGTATGGCCAGTCATAGATTAACCTCCCTAGCGGTCTGATTATGTCCATATTTCTGTGCTCAAAGCGGTACATTTTTTTGCATGGAAATGTCTTTTTTTATTGTAGGCCTGTAATTTTTAGGAATAACTCACTGAACTCTGTCCGAACAAGAGTCTAGTAAACATCCCGGGTATGATAAAATTTGAAATACAAAATCAAAAATTATAATAAATAATCATAAAATATAATAATAAATGTAATTCAATAATATAATCAAACCAAAAACACTGAAATGTGAAATAGAGCACCAAGTCGCAAAATCATTTTCATTGCCTGATGACAAATTTCCCCCACGAATTATTATCACTCAATTCTGCAAGTGGTGACAGGTGTGACAGGTCCCAGAAGACTACAGGACCATTCATGAAGTGCAGCACTACTTGCGCATGCGCAGTGGGTACCCGGCTGTGAAGCCGCAAGCTATCCCACACACTGAAGATGCCAGTGCCTGGAATACAATACGGCCGGTGAAACAGGCTGCGGGGGACACACACCACGGGACCGAGGGACAGGTAAGTGGCTGTTTTTTTAAAAGTCAGCAGCTACAGTTTTTATAGCTGCTGACTTTTGACTTTTTTTTGACAGGGTGAGCGGACCTCCGCTTTAAGTACTTCAGTGATCTCCAGTTGCTTCTGGGTCCTGTGCTGAGCAGCCAGTCTGACGCATTGTGAACACAGGAGGTTGGCCACTCAACAACAGCTCATTCAGAGAATACTTCGCATTTTCTGAATGAATGCAAAGCTTTCTCTGAGTGGACGAGGTGGAGTGCAGCTGCTCAGAGCAGGACCCAAAAGCAAGTGGAGATTACTGCAGTAGCAGCGTCTACATTAGTAGTTTCCATCTTCCAGGGGGATTGGCCAGGTATGGTATATACAGAATGGCATTGGTCCAATATTATTGTTATTATACAGGATTTATATAGTGCCAACAGTTTGCTCAGTGCTTTACAATATAACGGGAGACAATACAGTTCAATACAAGAGAGATAGGAGGGCCCTGATCCTGGGAGCTTACAATCTAGGAGGGAGGGGCTAGTGGTACAAAAGGTAGTAACTGTGGGGGACAGATTGGTTGGAAGAGTAGAAGATTCCATTATTAGCTGAGGGCAGGATAGGCTTCCCTGAAAAGATATCAGAAATCGCCTAAAAGTGAGCAGAGTAGGCAATAGTCTGATAAATTGGGGAAGAGAGTTCCAGAGGATGGGGGAAGCTCTGGAGAAGTCCTGGGGACAAGCACGGAAGGAGGAGACAAGTGAGATAGAGAGTAGGAGGTCTTGCGAGGAGCGGAGAGGACGGTTTGGGTGATATTTGGAGACAAGATTGGTGATGTAATTTGGGGCGGAGTTATAAATGGCTTTATATGTGATTGTTAATGTATATGTATCATACAGGCATGCCTGGAAGTCTTCTTGAAATCTGTGGTTTATACCAAGGTGGGCTGTAAAGGTCACTTTCACTAAAAGCGAAGTTGTCCTTTAAGTAGTCCTGATATGATTGTAGCCAGAGACCGGAGCACAAGAAAGCTCCCCCCTCCCTGTATACAGAATGATTGTCAATGTGAAGGTTCTCACAGGGATGAGAGGCAGCAGACAACTGAGAATGGAATAGTTACCTTGTAGCCGACAGGCAGCCGGTGATTCTCCAGCTGTCGCAGAATAAGTCACTGCAAGTCTGAATGCCACAACAGCTGGAGAGCGGCACGGCTCCCCCTCTGCTCTCTACATTCCTCAGATTTATGACCAACGTACAGAAGAGTATTGCTGAATAGTCATTATCCCATATAAACCCGGCACTAGTCTGTCACCAATCCTCACCACCGCCAGTCCCAATATATACCAGTAGGACCAGGGGCGGACTGACAACTCATGGGGCCCCCGGGCAATAGGGGATCATGGGGCCCCCGGGCAATAGGGGATCATGGGGCCCCTGTGTCCTTGCCCAAACTCAAAAAAGCCTATGAAAAAGGTACCAGGGGCATCTCATGGGGCCCCCTACTGACCCCGGGCCCTCAGGCAGTGCCCGAGTTTCCAAATGGTCAGTCCGCCCCTGAGTAGGACTTGTGAACAGGTTGATTTTATTTTACATCTGAATAGCTAGGAACAGAACAGCTGGAAAAAAAAAATCATATGGACTTTATTATTATTTATAATTAAAAAAAAAAAGGCAAATCACCCACAAGTTTCCTAACACCACGGTCACACCGGGTGTGACTTGGCATGCGATTTGCCAAGTCACATCGCATGTGTGTGTCTATGGATGCACACAGTCCTCACCTGGGAGAGCATGCAGGGTTGTCTGCTTAGAAGTCAGCTAGCTAAGGAGAAACCTGTAAATAGGATGGAGGTGCCTTCATAGGAACTGGTCAAAAAAGAAGACAGGAGCCAACTTTAAAAGAGAAGAATCCTCTTAAAGTGTTGGCCTAATCTAACATTTTCAAGATCTGGTCCCATACGCCCATCGGGAGTTATGAACCCATACACTAGATTCCTTGGTGCCCAACCTGTGGTCCTTTGATATATGATGTGCTGCCCTCGGAGCTCAGCAGTCTGTAGTTGGAACATTGATTATAGCAGCATTTCTCAACCAGGGTGCCCAGGAACCATGGGGTGCCTTGAGGTTTCTTCAGGGGTGCCTTGGAAAAATGTCCAAAAATTGCCCAAAACTTGTATACAAGCCAGCCTTTTAGTTACGCAAAGCCACAGGTTTTCATTACGGGCACACAGGCACCATTACGACTGTCTAGCCTCAGGCGTCCTGACAACCAATGACATCATCAGTTGATAAGGAGATTGTCAGCCGCCTGCACAGCATCCTAGTTTGACCCTCCCCTGCCCCTCTCTGTCAGTGCTGGGGTCACATTAGCTGAGTGATGGAGGAAAACTGAGGGAGAAGAGAAACATGGGAATACTAGTCAGTACCAGAGTGCAGAAGTGTATTTGCTTTGAAAAAATAAATCACCTCTAACATTGCGTGTCCTACATGTGTGGATGTTGCTGCGTTATACAAAACTATTAGAATAGTTTTTCACATTTTAGAATGGGGTGCCTCGGGACTGTCCATCAGTTTAAAGGCTGCCTCCGGACTGTCCATTTTAAAGGTTGCCTCGAGACTGTCCATAATTTTAAAGGGTGCCTCGGGACTGTATATAATTTTAAAGGGTGCCTCGGGACTGTCCACAATTTTAAAGGGTGCCTCGGGACTGTCCACAATTTTAAAGGGTGCCTCGGGACTGTCCACAATTTTAAAGGGTGCCTCGGGACTGTCCACAATTTTAAAGGGTGCCTCGGGACTGTCCACAATTTTAAAGGGTGCCTCGGGACTGTCCACAATTTTAAAGGGTGCCTCGGGACTGTCCACAATTTTAAAGGGTGCCTCGGGACTGTCCACAATTTTAAAGGGTGCCTCGGGACTGTCCACAATTTTAAAGGGTGCCTCGGGACTGTCCACAATTTTAAAGGGTGCCTCGGGACTGTCCACTATTTTAAAGGGTGCCTCGGGCCTCGGGACTGTCCACTATTTTAAAGGGTGCCTCGGGACTGTCCATCATTTTAAAGGGTGCCTCGGGACTGTCCACCATTTTAAAGGGTGCCTCGGGACTGTCCACCATTTTAAAGGGTGCCTCGAGACTGTCCACAATTTTAAAGGGTGCCTCTGGACTGTCCATCATTTTAAAGGGTGCCTCCGGACTGTCCATCATTTTAAAGGGTGCCTCCGGACTGTCCATCATTTTAAAGGGTGCCTCCGGACTGGCCATCATTTTAAAGGGTGCCTCCGGACTGGCCATCATTTTAAAGGGTGCCTCCGGACTGGCCATCATTTTAAAGGGTGCCTCCGGACTGGCCATCATTTTAAAGGGTGCCTCCGGACTGTCCATCATTTTAAAGGCTGCCTCCGGACTGTCCATCATTTTAAAGGGTGCCTCCGGACTGTCCATCATTTTAAAGGGTGCCTCCGGACTGGCCATCATTTTAAAGGGTGCCTCCGGACTGGCCATCATTTTAAAGGGTGCCTCGGGACTGGCCATCATTTTAAAGGGTGCCTCGGGACTGGCCATCATTTTAAAGGGTGCCTCGGGACTGGCCATCATTTTAAAGGGTGCCTCGGGACTGTCCATTTTAAAGGGTGCCTCGAGACTGTCCATCATTTTAAAAGGTGCCTCGGGACTGGCCATCATTTTAAAGGGTGCCTCGGGACTGTATATAATTTTAAAGGGTGCCTTGGGACTGTCCATCATTTTAAAAGGTGCCTCCGGACTGTCCATCATTTTAAAGGGTGCCTCCGGACTGTCCATCATTTTAAAGGGTGCCTCAGGACTGTCCATCATTTTAAAGGGTGCCTCAAGACTGTCCATCATTTTAAAGGGTGCCTCAAGACTGTCCATAATTTTAAAGGGTGCCTCAAGGACTGTCCATAATTTTAAAGGGTGCCTCAAGGACTGTCCATAATTTTAAAGGGTGCCTTGACTGAAAGAAGGTAGAGAAACACTGCATTAGAGTAATAGCACGGATATCTATTAGCCTCATGTAACATGTTCCCAGTTTCGTATTGTCTTCTGCAGCATATCTCCAGCCACAAAAAGTATCCTGTCCTCACTCTCTGACCCGCATTTCCTCTATTAGGTCTGCAGTCTCTGACAGTCCTCTCAAGGATTACATATCTCCTAGATTGTAAGCTCTAACGAGCCGGGCCCTCTGTTTCCTCTTGTACCAAATTGTATTGTAACTGTCATGTCTGCCTTCATTTTGTAAAGCGCTGAGCAAACTGTTGGCGCTACATAAATCCTGTACAATAATAATAATATATTGAACATTATGTGCAGCCCTTTTGGTGACATCAGGGGCCACACTTAAGGCCCCATTGAGCTCATAACCTGACCACCGCTGCTCTAGATGTTCACAGTATTTCTCCTGCCTACTAACTTTAACCTGCAAAGTCTGCAACAGCTGCACGTCAGAATACTGAGAACGTTCCCAACCTGAACATCTGTCCTGGCTGAAATCTGCTTGTTCAGCTCTGAGCATCTGGAGCAATTTTCAGGTGTCACTGCTGTTTAGAAATAGTTTTTTTTTTTGTGCAATACCTTACAGCCCTCCCCAATGTTCTAATACTTTCCCATAATTACCGGCCACAGAAGATTGACAGTTTCAGCAATCATTGTCCTCTGCAGTCTGGTCAATGCAGGTGGTGCAACTTCCTGCTGCAATGTCCAAACTACATGAAACTTTCAGGTCCTTATCAACGAAGATTAGAGACTTTTGAAAGATTCAACGGCACTTTCAGTTGTTTCGTTAATGAACAGTCTAGCTTTAACAAATATAATGCAAGGTGCTCAGTCAGGGCTCAGGTACACTGCAGCTGATAAAATCACGTTTAGGAACTGTTCTGCATTTTTTCCAGCAGCCCCTGAACTCTCCCTAATGTTTTCCTATGTGTCCATGTACACATCGTCCTTTACAGTCATTTACAGACAGTTGAGTTTACAGTCGTTTTTTTTGAACGCAACAAACTTGCGTTCAGACGTCGATTTTATCAGCGTTTCAAGTGCAAAATGCTTCTAAACGCGGCAAATCTCATTTATAAGCGTTCGCGTTTGAAATTTTAACGCTTCCAGTTCCCAATGCTGTCCAAAGCCTTTTTTTCATCATGTAAAATGCAAGCAAAGAGTTTTCAAGGTGCTCAGATGGACAAAACACTGAACACAGGATGTCCATGTACACATCTTTGTTACAGTCGTTTACACGCAGTTGAGTTTACAGTAGTTTTTTTGGAACGCATAAAACTTGCGTTCAGACGTCGATTTTATCAGCGGTTCAAACGCAAAACGCTTGTAAATGGAGCAAATTGCGTTTATAAGTGTTTGACATTTTTTTTTAACTCTTCCAGTTCCCGATGCTGTCCAGAGCCTTTTTTTCATCATGAAAAATGCATGCAAAGCATTTTCAAGGTACTCAAATGGACAAAACACTGAACACAGGATGTTCCTACCAAGCTTGTCACACATTATAAGGACCAATTCACACCTCAGACCTCTCCCACCCTTGGAAACAAAAGATATGTTAATGACCATTCACACCTCAAATTCCTCATGAAGACCTCCTGCCAGGTGGTCTTAATGACTCCCTCCACCAGACACCTTTCCCACCCTTGGAAACAAAAGAAATGTTAATGAACAACTCACACCTAAGCTAATCTCAATACTTACTGCTGTCTCTGCTTCTACTCTCTGTATTTCTGTGAAATAGTTTATGATTTACCACTTTTCAGTGCATTCTGGGCACTTGGGAGGTTCTCCTGTGCTTATCCTTAAAAAACGGTTCTAAACACAAATAAATGTGTTATGCAAACGCGGCTAAACAGACTTTTTTTAACCTACGTTTTCCAGCAGTCAGTTTCCATCGTTCGGAAGTGTGCCATGTACATGGGGCCTTAGCCCTCATTAATAGACCAGATAGATGCACTCTCTGTGTGTTTGGTGTCTAAGTGGCTTGCAATGGTGGCAGACACTGAAGAGGAGGAGCCGAGAGCACTGGCGTGGGCCCCAGAAAGAGGTTTGGGGCTGATCTGTGCAATTCCATTGGACAGAGCAAGTAATACAGTGTTATTTTAAGGAAAAAAAAAAGCCTTTATAAATGCTTTAGGGCTCGTTCACACTTGACTGTTTTAACAACTCTTCCCAAACGCCCTTATAGCGCTTGGCAAGCGTTGGTCCGGCGTTTGCAGAGCGTTTTTTTAACGCTCGGCAAACGCCGCATGTGCGGTTCAGTGGCGGTTGCTAGGCGTTTGCTGAGTGTTAAAAACACCCCACAAACACCTATAATGAAGTTTGAATGTTGTTACCGCTCTGCAAACGCCCCGCAACCGCGTCGCAAACGCCGGCCGGGTGTTTGCGCAATGGGACTATAGACTAAAATAGGAGGCTTCAACGCCTCCTGACTCGACCAGAGGTGTCCGTTTTGCCGCGACACTACCGCTCCCGTTAGAACAGCACCATGTGCTGCAATGGGCAGAATTGTCCGAGGTGTTTGGGAAGCAGTAAAAACTCTTCCCAAACGCCTTTCTGCCGCTTGCAAACAAGGCTAGTGTGAACGTAGCCTAAATGTGGTGAGGTTATCCCAAGCTTTAAATCCCATTCAATGGATCTTTCCCTGTAAGGTCCCTGGACAGGGGATGTCTACTACAGCCACAGGCTTTACATTTTTGACCCATCTGACCATAACAGGCCATATCATGAGATGGGATCTGTGATAAATGGGGTGGGTGTATAATAAATACAAAATTGAACTGCCAGGGTATCATCCTGTATACTTGAAACAATTGGTGTGGGTAGTTAGATGGGACTTTAAATATATCTCTAGTATTCCCAAAGAAACCAAATATACATATACAGTATCTCCCAGAAGTGAGCCCCCCCCTCACATTTGTGTAAATATTTGATTCTATCTTTTCATGTGACAACACTGAAGAAATGACACTTTGCTACAATGTGATGTAGTCAGTGTACAGCTTGTACAACATGTAAATTTGCTGTCCCCTCAAAATAACTCAACACACCATCATTAATGTCTAAACCGCTGGCAACAAAAGTGAGTCCACCCCTAAGTGACAAGGTCCAAATTGGGCCCAATTGGCCATTATCCCTCCCCGGTGTCATGTGACTTGTTACTGCTACAAGGTCTCAGGTGTGAATGGGGAGCAGGTGTGTTAAATTTGTGTCACTGTACTGCTAGGGTGACAGTATGTTAAAAAACAAAAAACAAAATAATATAAAAAAATAAAAATGTAAAAATGTTTTTGAAAAATTATAATTTTCGGTTATAAACTCATTTGGGTTATTATTACTATTATTATTATTATTATTATTATTATACAGTATTTATAAAGGGTTATTTTTTTTTTACTAAAAAGATAACTGAATAAATGTTGGCCAAGATTTATGAAGGATTTATTTGCAAAAAGTTATTTAAAAAAAAACACTTTTTTTTTTAAACTTTTTGGACTTTATCATTTATATAGCAAAAAAAATAAAAATCCCAGTGGTGAATAAATACCACCAAAATAAAGTTTTATCTGTCTCCAAAAAAATGGTAAAAAAATTCATATGGGTACAGCGTTGCATGACCGCGCAATTGTCATTCAAAGTGTGATAGCGCTGAAAGCTGAAAATTGGCCTGGGCAGGAAGGGGGTAAAAGTGTCCGGACTGGAAGTGGTTAAGCGCAGCCAGAATTCCCATCAAGAACAGACGGCAAAGTATTTGCCTCCAACACCTCCACCGTCTTGGCACGTCGCAGCTGAGCAGCGCTTCACTAAAAAAAAATAAAAGAACGGTTTCTATAGGACATAAGCTGTGCTGTCAGTGAGCACGAAATAACAGCAGGGGAGACCACACTTTGGGTTACGGAATAAATCGAAGATCCTTTCCCTTGGCAAATAAAAGTTCTGGTTATATTTAGAACACATCCTGCTCTCACATCGGGTGAAAGCCTTTATAACGACTATAACAAATACCAACAATGCTGTGTGCGTAGATGGGTGTTGGGCAAGGCTCGGCAGAACTGTATAATACATTTCCCTATAAAACTCTGACGTCTAACCCCCCGGGTGTCGGTTACCTGGCACCCTTCCAGAGCAGGAGCCATACCCAGAACGAGATCTAAGCCAGGGTATCAAATAAGGAATCAGCAGGTAGAACGTGGCACAAGCTCCAGCCAAGAGAAATCTGAGTGAACTGGCAATGATGTCCAGGCAACACTAAGCTGTGCTAAAGTCAGAGAGCCTACTCCGCTTCTTCTCTATTAAATATGTAAGGCCCCACGTACACAGGACACTTCTAACCGATGGAAACTGACTGCTGGAAAACGTAGGTTCAAAAACGCGTTTAGAAGCGTTTTTTAAAGATAAGCACAGGAGAATCTCCCAAATGCCCAGAATGCACTGAAAAGTGGTAAATTATTAACTATTTCAGAGAAATACAGAGAGTAGAAGCAGAGACAGCAGTATGTGTTGAGATTAGCTTAGGTGGGAGTTGCACATTAACATTTCTTTTGTTTCCAAGGGTGGGAAAGGTGTCTGGAGGAGTGGATGGAAACTGACTGCTGGAAAACGTAGGTTCAAAAACGCCTGTTTAGCCGCATTTGCATAACGAGCTTATGTGCGTTTATAAGCGTTTTTAAAGATTAGCACAGGAGAACTTCCCAAATGCCCAGAATGCACTGAAAAGGGGTAAATTATGAACTATTTCAGACTGTTTTAGAGAAATACAGAGAGTAGAAGCAGAGACAGCAGTATGGGTTGAGATTAGCTTAGGTGTGAGTTGCTCATTTACATTTCTTTTGTTTCCAAGGGTGGGAAAGGTG